TTTTCCTACTTGGAACACGCATATAAAACACAAGCGTTGTTCAAGGCAGAGCCCCATGGAATAGCGCCTCACAGCCGGCTTCGGGAACTTGATTTATGTGTCGCCCAGGCGTGCAGGAAATGTAAATTCCATGTGAACACATTTTTGTTGTCCAGGTGAACGCATGTGTGTTGCACATTTGTGTTGCACATGTTTCTCCACATGTGCACACACGTGTGTTCCATGTGTACACATATGTGTGTTACAAGTCAACACAGAAGTTTGTTCTGGTTAAACATGCTTGTGTGATCCAGGTCTGCACCAGTGTCGCACGTGAACACAAATGCCTGTTCCAAGTGAGCGCATATATGGGTTCCAGGTGAACACATATGTGTGTTGCAGGTGAACAGAAATGTGCTTTCCAGACATACACACATATGTGTTCCAGGTGTACGCATGTGTGTGTGTGCGTGTTCCGGGCGCGCATATATATATATATATATGTGTGTGTGTGTGTTCGCGTGTGCACATATGTGTGTTCCACATGTACACATATGTGCGTTCACGTGCGCACATATGCGTGTTGCACGTGTACACATATGTGTGTTCACGTGTACACACATGTGTGTTCTTATCAGACACGTGTATGTGTTCCAGGAGAACACATGTTTGTTATCAGATGAACACGTGCGTGTGTGTCTGCTCCGCGTGCACTTTTTTTGTATGTGTGTTCACGTGCACACATTGTGTGTTCACGCGTGCGCACATGTGCGTTCCAACTGGACACGTGTTTGTGTTCCAGGAGGACACATGTTTGTTATCAGATGAACACGTGTGTGTGTGTGTCTGCTCCGCATGCGCATGTGTGTGTGTTCATTTGCACACATATGTGTGTTCCACGTGCACACATTTGTGTGTTCACGTGTCCACACATGTGTGTTCCAATTGGACACGTGTTTGTGTTTCAGGTGAATACATGTTTGTTTTCAGATGAACGCACGTGTGTGTGTGTTCCCGGGTGCGCATATATATGTGTGTGTGTTCACGTGTACACATATGTGTGTTCACGTGTACACACGTCTGTGTTCCAATTAGACACACGGTTGTGTTCCAGGAGAACACGTGTTTGTTATCAGATGAACACTCGTGTGTGTCTGTGTTTTCCGCGCGCGCATAAATGTGTGTGTTCACATGTGCAGTACACATGTGTGTGTTCCACGTGTGCTGTGTTCACGTGTACACATATGTGTGTTCACGTGTACACACGTCTGTGTTCCAATTAGACACACGGTTGTGTTCCAGGAGAACACGTGTTTGTTATCAGATGAACACTCGTGTGTGTCTGTGTTTTCCGCGCGCGCATAAATGTGTGTGTTCACATGTGCAGTACACATGTGTGTGTTGCACGTGTGCACATGTGTGTGTTCACGTGTGCGCATTTGCGTCTCCCACGTGTACACATATGTGTGTTCACGTGTACACACATGTGTGTTCCAATGGACACGTGTTTGTGTTCCAGGTGAACACATGTTTGTTTTCAGATGAACACTCGTGTGTGTGTGTGTTCCGGGTGCGCGTATATATGTGTGTGTTCACGTGTACACATATGTGTGTTCACGTGTACACACGTCTGTGTTCCAATTAGACACACGGTTGTGTTCCAGGAGAACACATGTTTGTTATCAGATGAACACGTGTGTGTGTGTCTGCTCCGCGTGCACTTTTTTGTATGTGTGTTCACGGCACACATTGTGTGTTCGCGCGTGCACACATGTGCGTTCCAACTGGACACGTGTTTGTGTTCCAGGAGGACACATGTTTGTTATCAGATGAACGCGTGTGTGTGTGTGTGTCTGCTCCGCGTGCGCATGTATGTGTGTTCATTTGCACACATATGTGTGTTCCACATGTACACATTTGTGAGTTCATGTGTCCACACATGTTTGTTCCAATTGGACACGTGTTTGTGTTTCAGGTGAATACATGTTTGTTTTCAGATGAACGCACGTGTGTGTGTGTGTTCCGGGTGCGCATATATATATATATATATAAATATGTGTGTGTCACGTGTACACATATGTGTGTTCACGTGTACACACGGTTGTGTTCCAATTAGACACACGGTTGTGTTCCAGGAGACCACGTGTTTGTTATCAGATGAACACTCGTGTGTGTCTGTGTTTTCCGCGCGCGCATAAATGTGTGTGTTCACATGTGCAGTACACATGTGTGTGTTCCACGTGTGCACATGTGTGTGTGTGTCACGTGTGCGCATTTGCGTCTCCCACGTGTACACATATGTGTGTTCACGTGTACACACATGCGTGTTCCAATTGGACACGTGTTTGTGTTCCAGGAGAACACATGGTTGTTATCAGATGAGCACACGGGTGTGTGTTCCGGGTGCACATATATGTGAGTGTTCACGTGTGCACATATGCGTGTTCACGTGTGCACATATGTGTGTTCCACGTGTACGCACATGTGTGTTCCAATTGGACACGTGTTTGTGTTCCAGGTGAACAGATGTGTGTTTCACGTGAACACATTAGTATGTGCTAGGTGAACTTTTTTTGGCATCTGACGACATATTTGCTCTCCAGGTGTGCACATGTATGCGCTCCAGAAAACGCATGATTGTTTTCGAGGTGCGCGCATGTGTGTGCGATTTAGGTGAGCATTTATGTTTGCTCACGTGTGCGCATATGTGTGTTCCACATGTACACACATGTGTGCTTTAATCGCACACGCGGTGTTCCAGGTGGACACATGTTTGTGTTCCAGTGGTATACATATGTGTGTCCCACGCGTACACACATGTGTGCTTTAATTGCGCGTCTTTGTGTTCCAGGTGAACGCATGTGTGTTCCACGTGTACACACATGTGTGTCTGAATTGGACACGCGTTTCATTGTGTTCCAAGTGAACACACATGTGTGTTCCACGTGAACGCATTAGCGTGTCGTAAGTGAACACATATGTGCGTTCCACGTTTGCACATGTGTGTGTGTGCTTTCCAAGAAGCACATGTTTGTTTTCCAGCTCAACACATTTATGCGTGTGCCGCAGGTGAATGTATACTGTTTCAGTCGTATACGTATGTGTGTTCCACGTGTACACACATGTGTGTCTGAATTGGACATGTGTGTTTGAACTGCCCATGTGACTGCGTGCTTGCGCGGCCACACTTGCGTTCACGCGCGCGCGCTCGCCCGCCATCGCGCGCGCTTGCCCAACCTCAGTTCTGGCGCGGTGCTGAAGCGCGAAGCACGCCAGCAACACACGTGCAGCAACGCAACGCGCGCCAGGTTCACGACTGCATCATTTTGATTCATCCGTGTTGAAGCGCAGAAAGCCACAAGCTGTTGGCATGTTTGTGCTCGCCCGTCAGCCCTCAACTGTTTGGGGTCTCTGCTGGTGTAATTTGATAAGATTGGGTCAGTGCCTGATTGACCCCAATTTCAGCTGCCCCCAATAGGTAACCAGTCGTCTTCCTTTTAGCTTTTGAAGGGCACTTCCTAAAATGACCCAAACACCAAAAGTGACTTCTCTCCGAAACGGAACTCAGGAAGTGAGACACAGCTAACTGGATCGACTAAAAACATCTCGGGCGCGGACTCAGAAGCAGCGACTCCGCAACGCCAAGGAGCAAAAGCCATGTGGGGCGCATCGAGACTCGCCGGACTGCGTTACAAATCTGGCAGGGTCCCAGTGACTTTGTTGGGTAAGCTGGGTCCTTGAAGTAAAACCTGAAGGGTGCAAGTAACTTGTGTCTTGCGTCGGACTTCCTTCCTTGAGGTCTTGTTCGGGTGGGTTTTTCAAGTCATTTGTCGACATGGGTCTTTCAATGTCTCCCGAGTCTCCCGAACGCCTCCCAACATGTACGGGCTGGGCTAAACGGCCAGGCTGCCAGGGAAAGAACAGGCCGCTGAATAAAGGTGCGTTCCCCATGCAGTTGATTTGCCCGCCTTTGAGGGTATTCGGGTTCGGGGCCATGGCCATTTTACCACACCACTTCCTCCTCCTGATCCATTCGTGCAGCAACGTCGGCAAGCTGTGCATTCCCAGCAAGGGCTACAGCAAAAGTGCAGTACTGGTTGCTCTTTATCCAGGCCTAGTGATTTCTGAGGGCCCCTTTTTTGGGGTGCAGAGAAGCCAAAGGAAAACCGAAGCCACTTTGGGTGTCCAAATCCCTACTTTTGACACATAGGCTAGGTCCTCCGGTAGAGAGGATAGAAAAAGGGTACCTACTTTTTTCTGTAGTCTATTTTAGTAGGGAAACCCTGCCCCCTAAAAAGATTCGGTAAAAGGGCACCTAGCTGAAGGTGTGTTTTGCTGGCATGCTCGTGCCCTGTGAGAAGGCACGCCCGTTGCTGGTTGCTAGTCCACGTCTTGACAGAAACGCTGGCATGACCAAGTTTTTGCATTGGAAGAAAAGAGAACATTTTCGAGTGAAACCGATCTCCTTGAAAATCAAATGGGGGAACAGCAAACATATGCATTCAACAAATGGACGTATTGACTTGCCCGCTGGCCTACTGGTGACCTGGCACCTGAAGTCGTAAGTCGACCCTGGCTCACAGCGAGATGGAATGCTTGCACTCCGAAGGAACAGACCCGACCGCCAAGCATGATTGTGAACACCCCAGACTCAGAGTGGATTTTCATGGTGAGGGAAAAAGGCATGTTATGTTTGGGGTTGGTTTTGAAAGGCGCCCCCTTGAAAGAAGGAATTTTGCCCCCCCGCGTCTGGGAAAATGACCCAAAACGAAGGCAATTGCCGTTTTCACGACGAGTCCCTCGGTACGTGTCATAGGGCAAGTGATGTTGTTTTGGCCTGCAAAACCCCTTGTTGGGGGGGGTTAAGAGCAACAATTACAACAACAGGGTTCCCGACGTTTCCTCTTAAAACGCTGGCTTAGAATCCGAAAGGTCATCACCTGGAAAGCCACAAAGGAAACAAAAGGGACCCCCACCGCTTCAACCGAACTCCCGCCGTGGACTCTTTTGCGCCAACTCCGTCAGCGTGGGCCCCGGCCCCTTGCTCGGTACTCGAAGTTGCAGACTCCTGAAATTCTGAAAGGCGCGGGGAGCCAACATGTGGCTGGCTTGAGTCAGTCCTGTGAGCCCAGTCCAAATCCTCACTTCCTGAGTTGATGGGCCAAAAAAAGTTCAAACTTTCTGTTTACCACTAAAATGGTCTTCCCAAAAAGTTTAAAGTCCAGGAACTCAGGGAGTGAGAATCTAACCGCTGAACAGTGCTCAGGGCTGAATTGGGCCCCGTTTTTGCATGGTTCTGAAGGAAGACCAAAAGGACACCTACTTCCATTTGCTTAAGCCCCGGAAAAAAAAGTCCAGTAGTGATAAATTCCTTTTAAAGCCAACAAGGGAAAATCAAAGCAATATTCATTTCAGCAAATGGACGACCTTCTTGGAAGGGGTCCAGGCGACCTCACGGAACCTCCGCCGACCTGTCTGGCGACAAGAGGGCACCAAACAAACAGACCAGAGTCAGACGGTGCACGGAACCATCCGTCTGGCACAGGAAAACCAGCAATCGATGGGAGTGTGCATTCCGGAACACCAAACAGACATCCGCTGGAAGGGCTGCTTCCGAGACAATGAGCATTAGAAAGCGCAATACAAGGGCCGAATTGCATTGTGCAGCATGAGCAAGAGACAAAAAAGGTTCCTTCTCCGTCTTGACACATCATCCCACTCAAGGAGCATCTGCCTAAGATAAAACATGATGCGCACAAATCACAGGGATGCGCAGGCGAACTCGTCAGATGCACCCAGAATTGCCGGCTCCTTCGAGCGGCTCGATGGTCAAGCCTTGCATTGGAACCCATAAACCCCAAGGAATGCCTTGGGCAAGCCAAGGTGGCTGAAACAACACCCCCCAAAAAGTGTATCCTCAAAAAGCACTCGCACACACACAACATGGGTGTTTCTCAAAATAGAGGTCCTCCAACAAATTGTCTGGTTCTCTTTTGGCTTCCTGTTAAAGCCAAAACTGGGTACCATCAAGAACGGGGACCACCACACCAGTATCAGGAAGCCCCTCGAAATGATGCCCACCAAAGCGTCACTAATTGGAATTCATACCCAATTGAGTGTCTTTTTTTCACTGACCCCCCAAATGACGCAACGGTTTTCCTTTCGGTTTCCCTCTAAAACCAGCAAAAAGGAGTACCCCTAAAATGAGACACCCCCCCCCCCAATTTTCAGCTTGTTTGGGGGATTCAAACGTCAAGAAATTCCTAGTAATTCTCGGCATTGACCCTGTTTGGATGCAAACGCCCGCAAATTTCCGCAACACGCCTGCGAAAAGGGGCAACCACCCTCAAAAAACACGCATAAATACGCACAACACACGCAAACGGCCAAAAAAGCGCCTGAAACGCCTAAAACGAACCAGAACGCCTGGAATTCCTCGGCATATCTCTAGGTGGTCGGAAAGCTTTCCGACAGCGTCCCTCCTGCGCAGCGTGTGTGTCGCCGACACGCGGAGCGCCGAGACCAAGCCCCGCGAAGGCGCCTGAAGAGTGGCGATTGCCGGAGGAAGATCGGGGGTGGCCTCGTGCAATCCTAACCATTCCAAACAGCCACAGGCCCTCCCTTCAATTGATTCTTCACTTTCTGGAGTTGCCTGCTATCACAGCGGGACAATTCCTCGATCACAATCCAGTTTGCCCCACGCAGCAACCAATAGGAATCCAATTGGGGGCTGCACAACCCTTTGCCAAGCTGGGTCTCTACTGGGCTGTCCAAACTGATCCCCTAAAAGTGACGAATTTGTGGGTTTCATGGAAACCCAACCACTCAACCCTAAAATGCTAAAAAGGCTAAGGGGATGGCTGGGAGCGACCAGGAAAAAAAAGGGGATCCAAAACAGGAAGATGGGTTCCTTCATTAAGGGTTTCAAGATTGGTAGGGTTTCAAAACAAATGGGTTCCAAAATTGGCAGGTTTCCTTTTCCAAGGTCTGCTTTCGACTGGTTGTAAGGGGCCAAAATAGACGGGTTCAAAATTGGCACCCATCTGTGCCACAACTCCATGCATAGTGGGTCTGGTGGGTCAGGGTACATGTACGGGGCTAAACATCTGACGTATATGACCTTCCCTTTTCTTGCAGTATGCCAAGACTTGACCAAACCAAGATGCAATCTGCAATCTGCAAAATGCTAAAAGTTCACCCATGTCAAACGTTGACCCCAAACCAAGCCCATGACTGCAGCGTCGCAAGTCTTGGAAGCTGGCCTCTTCATTGGCCGGCCACACTTCTGCTTTGGTTTTTGCACCTCCCGAGTCCTTCCCCGTTCTTTGGGAGGACGGCTCCCGACTCCGCCCGCTCTCCGCTCGATCCGCTCATCCGCCCGATCCGCGCCTGGGCGCGGAGCTGAAGGTGCAGCTTGGCGCCGGCGAGGCGCCGGAAGTACTCCAAGCTCCTACCGGGGACCCGTCAGCGCCCAGGTGCGCCCCCGGCGGGAACCCCACGAGGAAGGGGGGTAACTTCCAGCCATTGGGGAGATGACTCAGATGCCCAGTGGAGTTCCATGGGAAAAAAACACATTTGTGGCATGGGTTATAATCTATGTGACCAACAGCTTACTAACATGGAAAGTACAATTATCTTCCACTCGTTTCTTGGGCCATGTATGCGGCTGTTATTCAGATGTCCAGTGGATTCCCGTGGGAAAAAAAGATTCGGCAGCCAATTTCTTGATTGGTTGACCCCAAAGGAACACCCTTCCCCCGAAAAAAAAAAAAAAAAGAGAAGGGACCGGGCAGCACTTTGCAACTGGGATTATCTATAGGTTCCCAACAACTTAGTAACTTGGCAACGGACACCAAAACTTATGGACCCTCAAAAGTCCCCTGACAACGAGTAGATTCCACTGAACGGGGGAATGAGTGGGATATTACTTGCAACCAAACGGTTGCCATTGCAACGAACTAACTTGGCAACGAACACACTAAGAGTGTGAATTCCATTTGGGACTGATCTGAGTGGGTTGGTGGATCTGAGCGGTTACTGTTGCAACTTACTTGGCAACAAACATCCATGGGATTGTCTCAACATGGGGCGGCTTGTCCATGTTGAGACAAACCCAACTAGGAGAACCACACACCCGGAAACAAAAATGCAGGGTGTCCTTTTGGCTTCCTAAATGAAACATCCAAGGGTACCCTCCAAACAAGACACATATCTGGTACTTATGTGGGGGATCCCCAGCATCATGGTACCTAGAGACAGATATCAACTACTGTTTTTGTTTTTTTCTTCTCCTGGAAACGAGCACTTGGTGGGCGGGTTGTCCATGTGTTCAGATAGGTTTGGCTACTAGTACATGTTGTAGTGTGGGGGGGAGTATGAGCGAACGGAAACCCGTGGGTATCTGGCACCTATGTGTCCTGGATACTGGTACCTATGCCAAGCTGTCAAAATACACACATGCAATTTGCGGACGATGTGTCCCTTGCAATCAAGATGAAAAGGCACCCTCAGAAACAAACACACAAGCACACACACACAAACAAATACAAACAAACACGCAGACACACACACACACACACAGCCGCGTTCGCTTCTTGGATAGACAGAAAGGCACAAGGGCGGTTGTCCACTGCTAAAAACTGTGGGGTCTGTGCCCAGTTGATTAATCTCTGGCTGGTTTGGAGCAACAGGGGTTCCATTGGGTTGAGGGTTCTGTTGGGGATACCTGGGCTCCATTTTGGTTTGGGGGGTCACATCCCTTGAACAGTCAATAAATGCACATGGTGCACGAAAGTTACTTTTTTCTAGGAGACCCCCTCCCATTTTTGGGAGAGGAGATTTGCCCTCAAAAAACAGGAAGGATAGCAATCGGCGGAAGCAGGACTGTTTTGGATGGGCTCGAAACCCAGAAAATAGGCAGGTGATAACCCTTAAACTTGAGTTAGGTTTCTTCTTTTTTCAAACATTCGGCCCCCCCCCCCCCCAAAAAAAAAACACCTTGTTTTCTTGGTTTCCCTTGAAATCCAGCCCCCCAAGCGGCTACCCTCAACGACGCAGCCAGTTGGGCTCCTTAGCACGTGCAAACCCCAACCTTCCTTTAAAGGCTCCTGATGACCAGCTGAAGATGAAACTCCGCCATGCCGCGGCTGAGCCTGCATCTCTTTGCGTTCAGACTGGGATGCCCCGGGGCCCTTGTAACACCTCGTTTGGGAGGGGTATACCTGCAAGAGGACCACAGCACTTTAATTCAGGCCATAACACTTGTCCAATGTTTGAACAGGGCCCTCTGCATGAACTGCAAACGCCCGGGTTTCTGGGGACTGGGAACACCCTGTCCGTCGCGGTAGTTTTGTGTCCCCTGAAACAAACACATTTTCCCCGTACTGATAGATTGTCGCTCAAACCGCACAGGAGGGGCTTTTGGGGACCTTACGGAGATTAAATTTACGCAGTGCTTGCCTGAATCTTGCTGGGTTTCCACACGAGCCTCAACCTACCCTTGCAAAGCGGACTTCGCACCATCATTTTGGGGCAATAACCAATGCTTGAGGGTAGTTGGACCACGCGCCGTAGACGGCCGTGTATTTTCGTTGATTTTTCAGCCGGCGGGGGAGGGGGGGTGGGGTGGGGGGGGGGGGGTGATCTCGGACTCGTCCACAGCGTTCATGTTTGTCTTCAGTGTTGGTTCAAATGTACCTTTGCGAGGACGCTCGTCTCGCCTTAGGTCTCGTCCTGATCTTGCGCTGTGCTGGCTCGTCCCCTCTTTTCTGCTGCCACCCAATCCTGGATCCTTTTTTGCTGTGTGCCTGGACTCTCTCTTTGACGTAGTGACGCAAACCCCGGACCCGTGTTTGTCGCTCGTGGCAGAGATAGTTTTGCTGCCTCATCGGTTTCCACTGGCCTTTGACTCTCTTGGCCTTTGCTTGCCTGTGCTTTGGTCTGCTATGAGGCGTTCTGCGTGCTTTCCGCCCTCTCGCTTAGTCTCGCTGGCGTCCAGTTGCAAGGGGTGACACATCAGATGGTTGTCGCAAGATGGTGGTCGCATCAGTATGCAGAATTGATATATTTTGATGAATCGACAACATTTTGTGAAATCGGCAGTTAGTTTGCGGGATTCCGTGAAAGCATGTTGAAGTTGCAATTCTATTGGTGGAAGCACTGGCTTTGCTAGTTCCCACTGGAATTGCAAGCACAGAGATTGAAGCAACACAGATGCATGAAAAACCATAGGAACATGAATGTTTTTGACCGCTTCGCTGCTGCGAGCATGACCAAAAACCCACGGCCATCTACGGCGCGTGGACCTAGTTGGACTCACTTCCTGCGTGGCCAGAAAAAGCAAGCAAACTTCGGTCATTCCCATAGGCGTCCTTTTGGAAAAAACGAGATGGTCTGGAAAATCGAGTAACTAAAACCAATCTAGACCAATGGAACCCATCTATTTCTAATTCAACAGGCACTCCCAACAGCCCTGGCACCCGTGGAACCTGCCGGAACCGTGCTCCGAATCACACCGAACGAGCTTATTACTTGGGCCCATCGACCACATCCATAGCTTTCAGCCGGGCACAAAAACGAGGACACCATTTCTTTACCCTTCAAAGGACACATGTATGGTCATTCCAAAAACCAAGCCAAAAAAGGACTTATATATTAGATATGCCAAAACTAACTCAAAGGCCGAATCCATAGCTCTCAGCTGAGGGAAAAGAAAAGGACGCTATTTGTTACCCTACAAAGGACACATCTATGGTGATGCCAAACCTCAAAAAGGACCTCTGCCAAAGAGAACTCAAAGGCCAACTCCATAGCTTTCTGGGGAAGAAAGACCAATACGCGTATGCCAAACAAGAGAAGCCGAGTGAGTGAGTTGGAAACTGGCCGACTCCGCGGCTGCGAACTTCGCGAAATCGCCGTCCTCTGGGGCTCTGAAGGGTCCTTGGCCCAGCGGAGCAGAATCACATAGAGCTCCATGAAGGAGGAGAAGTGGGACACGTGGGCGTAGCCTCAAACGGGAACGGGACACACGGCAGCACTTTCGAACGCCGATTTTTTGGCTCATTTCCGCCTCAAACCATGGGCTGCCGTCGTCGGTTCTGCTTTTTGTTGTTGGAGGCTCGGTACTTTTCCCGGTTCTGGCGTGGCTTTTAAAGGGGAACCGAAAGGACAACCCGTAAAAAGAGACATACCCATGTATGCTTTCAGATCAGTGGGTTTCCATGGGCAACACGAGCACTCTTCTGATGGTGGGTTTTGAAAAGACACACCCATCAAGGAAAGTTAGCAAGTCCTCCGTTTGTGGGTGAGACATCGACTGAGACCTCCATGTCCCTCCCGAATGGATCATAGACTAGTAGAACTGTTCTTGAAAGCGCCCTGAAAAGTGTAAGGGGTTCATCGTTCAGCTCTCTGAGAAGCTGAATCATGCCGATCACACACAAATGCGCCAAACAAACTGGTATGCGAGGCCTTGGGCAGAATCGACACCCAAGTGACACAGGGTCTTCTCTATCGGAGTCGCTGTCGGAACCGGGTGTTCCCGTTTGGCCTTGCCAAATCGATTCGATTTTGGGGGCCCTGGGAAAACGCCAGAAGGGATGCTGGAAGGAGATCTGATCGACCCAGAAGACTGGGGAAATGGGGTCACGCTTTGGCGAACCTCGGAATCCGGAGCCTGGTGAGAGAAAACGGGTCCTCGGTACAAATCATTTCCTTACAAGGGGAACCACCGAAAATCTTACAGTCCACGGATTCCTGCACAGTTCACATTAACTCACTTCCTGGGTAGATTCGTGAATGATGCATCTCCAGAGCCACACCCAAGCAGAGCCTGGGTTCGTTCTGAATCCAGTAAACACAAACCCCCTGCGACGTCCGGTTTGAGCGCATGTATTAGCTCTAGAATTACCGCAGTCATCCAGGCAGAGACCATCAAATAAGCTATTTAATGGCTTCAATGACCATAAAAAGTCACCGAAGTTGATTTAGCACCGACATGGCAACCAAACCAAGCAGTGACAACTCTACTCGGAAGTGATGCGTCAGGGAGGTCTCTGGGAATTGATTAAGCGCGCCCAATGCTCCCCGGACACCGGTCCCGGACACCGGTCCCGGAAGGTTCTCCCTCAGCTCGGCTCTCAAATGGCCTAACCTGGAGGGCACAAGCGCTCCCTTTTTGCCCAGCAAGAAACCCCACTTTCGGGGTAAGATATTCAAACTCCCAAAGGAGCAACAAAATGCCGAGATGGGCCAAAACCTCCGCCGAACTGCAACGGGCGAGACTTGACCCGAGTGACCAAACTTCCACTTGCTTAAGGTTACCTAACATATTTCCAGCAGTCTTAGAGAAATCGATTCCCTTTAACACCAACAGGGGAAAACGAAACATAGTCTTGATCAAATGGAGTGAGAACAATGGACCAAGTGGTGTGCACCCTGGTTCACACCGGAAGCCTCCAGTAAGTATAAAGTTCAGGACCTCAGGGAGTGAGAAAAAGCATGGTTGCTGTTGATGCCTCTGCAAAAAAGCTTAACTGTTTCTGGGTTGTTTCTTGCCATTTTTATTGTGCTTTTCTGTTGGCTTCTCTTGTGTTTCTTCCTTTTCAGGCAAGGAACGGGACTCCAGTCACCCCAATTTGCCATGGATCGCGCGGTCAAACCCAGCGATCAGTCCCTCGGCTCGGAGCTCGGAGCTCGGCTCGCTCGTCGAATTGGGCCGCGGGGCGCCAGGCGTCCGCGGCCTGCAGCCAGTAGCGGAGGCCGTCCAAATTCTCACAGCCCCAGGGGCTGAAGGCGAAGCTCCTGAGAGACGCGCCGCAGAATCGCCAAGGGAGAGGCGGCCATTCCAAGAATCTGCTTCCATGAGTTGGTCCCCAAAACCCTCTCGTCAGCTTCCGTGGAGGGAGGAAGGGCACCTGGAGTCACCATGAATGATACACAAATGGGGCGGGGAGGGGGGGGGCCATGAACACTTAGAGTATACGTCGCAGCCAAGAACCCTAGCCAACACCCGAATTGAAGGAGGTTGCAGAATAGACCCTAAGTGCCCATCATACGTTCTGCGGGGGGCGGGGGAGGGCGTGGAGGGACTCTCTTCATTTTGCGCATACCCCCCATTGAAAAGTCAGGGGTTCAACTGTGTGACATCCTCAAAAATACACCGATGGTAAGGAGTGTCCACTCCCAAAAGCAACTTGGTGAACCCCTGAAGGTGCGCTTGCACATCCAGAATCAAATGTGCCACTCCCCAACTGCCGGCCGGAAGGGAAGGGGAATCGGGCCAACTTTTGACTTTCAACCTGTAAACATCTCTGCAGAAACTGACGTGAGCCATAATCAAAACCTGGTATGAACAATTTTCTACAACACTACGTAAGGAATTGAAAGAGGCGGCTGCACCAATCTATGATTGGGACTGTGCCTTGCCAATCTTCATCTACCCGAGCTTTGATTGTGGCTCACTTGAATTTTGACCAATTGGGTGTTTTAGGCTTCGGAGAGTGACGTCGGCCCAAGGCGAAGGGTTTTCCTGCGACCCGTTGAACGACTTCTAAGCCCAGAAAAAATCGGATAGTCTGGATCCTAAAGGGGTTTCTCTGTAGTTGATAAGACAACATCTCAATGTGTTCGACGGGGATCCGACCCCGAAACACCAAAGATTTCGAATTCCACTCCCAATGGGCATGATCCATTTCTTGCAATCCCTATGAGAATCACCCGCCTTGCGGGAGGTGGGACAGCAGTTGTTCAAGATTCAAGATGTTGTGCAGGCATAGCATACTCAAATCCCACGTGCTGAAGGCGTAAAAATGGCGCGATTTCCCAGTGAAACTAACAGGGAAACATGACAAATCCTGACGAAGGCCAAATGGAAAGCAGCAGCATCTATGCTTGACCAACCCGACCCAAAGGGATCCATTAAACCATTGACTCACTTCTGCTTTCGTCCAAAGAAGTCCGACCTTAGGGTTCTCAAGATGGACTTCGGACCGCCTTTTGGTGGCTGATTTACGAGGAAGCCCTTTTTTTGCGGGGACCAACTCATCTCCCCAAATCACGTTTTTCGTCCAGAAACTCGAAAAGTGAGACGAACAAACGGGAGGGACATAAGATATATTTTCTGTGACGCCAAAAGGTGGCCATTCCTGAAATCAAACGGGGTTCCCTTGACCAGTGGCCACGGGCTGATGCCAAGCATCTCTTCTCCCTCTGCCAAGTTGTACAGGGGGGAGTGCTTGAAGAACCAGCCGATGCCCGTTTTGCACATCTCCGACATGATCCTGCGGCGTTTCTCTGGGCGCGTCACAAACTTTGCAACCTTAACAAAAACACTATGAAGGGAAACCCGCCTTATGCGAGCCAAACTGGCGATAAACACCACACAACATGAGACACATAGGGAGGCTCCTTTTTAGTTGGCATGCAGGAAGTTATTGACTTGTAACAATTCCCGGCTGCCTGTCACATCTGTCGGTGAGGCTCTGTCGCAGCTGTCACGCTCCGTCGGTCGGATGTCACTTAAACATCCAACAACCCCACATCTGTTGGGCAAAAAAAGAATGTAAAGAGTCATCCAAGAAAAAAACAACCCAAGTTGACGTCTCTTTGAAGCCAGACCCTCTGGCTCCCACTTCTAACGGCTTTGAACACCTGCCGAAATCGAAACCTCGGCTTTGGTCAGGTAAGCGATCTGACCGTTCGGCCTTGACACTTGATTTGAGGCGAAGGTTCATCTTTAAATCGAATTCTGGGGCTTTTGTCTGACAAGGGGAACTTCGTCAAAGGACAAACCTGAGAATTCGAGATGACACAGGTTGAATCCCAAGCAGGTTCCTTTGCATCATTCACCCAGTTGATCTGTGTGCGTGCGTGCCAAGTGCAAAGTGGGGCCTCCAAAACGATCTTTTCCCTTCCCTTTCGGCTTCCCTAGGGCACAAAGTCCTGGCTTGCCAGTCCACCTGCGGCACCAGCGTCGGCACCTGACAGGGTTCGGCACGTTCCAATCACAAGCACCTGGTTGGACATGGGGAAATCGTTGGGAGGGCCTAAGAAGCTTCGAAGTCCACCTTTCCGAAAAAAAAAAAAAAAAAAAAAAAAAAAAAACACAACAAGCAACTTTGCCTGGGATCGGTGTCAGAAGGCTTCGCGGATTCGTGATTCTCGTGACCTCTATCCAGAGGCCTGAGGCTTCCATCGGCGAGTTTTGGGGACAACGCGTAAAAGTAGTCTTTGTTCGAAGTGATACGCAGGGATTGATGAAAAGTGAAACTGTAGACCATTTGGCAAAGTTGCTTTTTTCTAAAGCACCAACGCTATCCGCAAAGCGCGGAGTTTACCCACCTGTTTTTGAGCCAGAAGGCTTGCGACGTGACCCAATTTGGCAGGCGTTGCACTGATGCAAGTCCGGCAACTTAGGGAGGGCAGCTTTATAGCTTTGTGAAAAGGAAAGAAGGCACGAGTCTCGAAGGGTTTTGTGCCACTCAAGGGCTTCCAGCAAGCCATCAGACCCTACCCGCTTTTACTCTTTCGGGGTTTGATCACGCTCGGGCCGCAAAAGGCGGGGCTATGTCTGAACAAGCTTAGGCCCCCCCTTCCCCCGGCCATGGCCCGCATTCGGGGTTGAGGATTGCAGCTTCGAAGCAACCCCGACTTTGGTAATCTTAACATTGGATCAATCTAGAGGGCGAATCCCATGTCAACGACTTCCCAAAGGGATGCTTTCATGGGGCTTCCATTTGTTTCAGTGCCCCGGACTTGTTTTTAATGAAAAACATATGACATATTTCTAGTAGGAAATTTGATTGCCGGTAACACCAGCACAGCAACATTCCTAAATTATCATGTTCAGCGAATGGGAGAGGGGAGATGGATGAAGCAACCTTGACGTCATTCAGGTCAGCCCATGAAAGAAAACACGCCGCAGGACTCTGTTTGGGGGGTTGATTCCCAAACAGGTGTCCCACTCCCAAAAAAGAACACTGCCTGTTTTTAGGGCCAGCCCCCAACAAAAACAAGCTGAAAAGGAAGACCAACAGGTCAGATATATCCGGTCAACTCGACTTGGACAACTGCGGGGTACCACCATAGGTGATCTGGTGGAAAACCATAGGTGGCCTTGGCATTGGAAGAAACCAATCTAAGCCAGTGGACTCCATTTAATTCAAATCAAGCAAACCTACAAGGAGATCCTTCCATTTGAATTTCCAGTAGTGAAATCGACTCCCTTGAAACCAACAGGAAATATAGAAACATCAGCAAATCTAGGGGCCGCCCTCAGATCCCCGGCTAAAAGTTTCATAGTGGTTTCAGTGGAAACTACCACTCACCCCGTAAAAACAACCCAAAAAAGCTAAGGAACCGCGTGACCAAACACCACTGGGCGATCCTGCAGCGCATAGAGCTCTGTGAAGGTGAGCAGGGTGATGTCTCCGGCCAAATACACCGCGGCTAAGTGCTCCACCGCTTCAGCCCACCAGATCCGGCCCTTCGCCTCGAGAAAAACAAATCAGATCGCCCCCAATAACGACCGGGTGGGGAGAGGGGAAGGAAAAAAACACGGCGCCTTGGTTGACGTTGGAAGGGGGAGCGAGAACTTTGAAATTTTAGCAGTTCAGTGGCTGGATTTCAACCACTAACCACAATAAGCAAAAATGCAAATTGTTTCTTAACAACAACCGTGTCGGGGGGGGTTCTTGAAAAGCTGAGGGTTGACTGGAGAGCTTCGAGAAATCCGAGCGCTGGGCTTGGAAAAGCGGCCGTTGAAACTAGAGGCTGGCCCCAAGCGACTCCAGCGCCCATGGCGAAGGAGTGGTCCCAGATGGGGGCTGGGACATAGCATTGAGAATGTTGACCCTGGAACTGCCTAGAACCCGTCCGAGAAACCCCAGTCCGAGTAGGGGGGGTACACCGTCCAGTGAATTTTAAGGCAAAACGCATCCAAATCAACCAGAGGTTTATTCATGGGTGCCCATCCAGAGTTAGGGTTGCGAGACAAGCCCGCCTGGAACCCAACGGATGTCACCATGCTGCTTCCCTTCAGGTCTTGGCCCAAGAGAGAAATGGAAACCCGTCTGCTCTGGGGACTGCTAAATTTAAATGGAACAGAAAAAACACCGTCTGCTCTGAAAATTTGCTCTGGGATTCTTTTGCGACAAACATCCGTGTTTCTCGGAAAAGTTGAGCCACCTGAAATGAGCACCCAGAGACATAGGAGACGCCAGTTGCAAACGCAGAAGTGAAGTTGATCACACTTGAGTGCACCGAATGACCCGAATCAAAAAAGTCCAAACGCTGCAACACTGCGAAGCTCAAGCCGAAACTCCCAAGCCAGGAGCACCAAGGGAATCGATTTCCTGAGGTGAACTCGCACTGAGTCATTGACTCACTGGACGGCGGGCAGAGGAACTTGGCGGGTACAGCAGTTGGATAACAAAAGGGACTAGGTCCTCCAGTAGAGAGGTTCGAATCAGTTGCTACTCGTTTTGTTTTTTTGCTGTAGTCCCCTCCCAACCAAAGAAGAAACGGTAAAAGGGACCTAGCTGGGGCACCTAGGGGAGCACCTGAAGTTGAAGCCCTGGAAAGCGGAAAGCCAGGCTGAGCCCGCCAGTGTCATGCAAGACGAGCGTGACACAATTGGGCGCGATACGAGTGACGGCCGTTTCTATCGCAAGTAAACACGCCAAAGACTGTGGAAACTAGATTCACGTGGTCTTGCAGGGATCCTTACATTATACACCTGAAATGGTGGTGTCCCGTTGTTTTAATGGAAAAAGCCATGTTTCAAATGGGCAAAATAAAACTTAAGGAGACAAAGACTATGGACACTAGATTCACGCGGGCTTTTCCTGATGGCCGACTCTTTTTTCGCGGTGTGTTGTCTTGCTCATGTAGCGGAATGTGAATCCCGAACTCCACACAACTAAGTCAGGCATGGCTCGGAGCCGCCCAGTACTTTCGACGGAAAAACCGAAGCCGTTCTGGGGGTCCAAATTCCTTTAAGACAAAGACACGGAAGCCATGCTGGAGAGATCTCTTTAAGACAAAGCCTTTTTTGCACATGGCGTAGGCGTCTGATACGCCACGAATTAGAATTACCTTCCCAAGACAAACTCTGCTCAAATGCGGTACCAAGCCCAGGCCCAAGAGCGGCCCTCTAAACCAACCTCAACACACCAAACTAGGTCCTCCAGTAGAGAGGTTAGAATAAGGGTACCCTTCTTTCTGTAGTCTCTTTCGGGGGAACCCTCCCAACCAAAAAAGGGGTGAGAAAGGGCACCTACCTGAAAAACCTAGAAACCAAGGTCAACACTCTAAAGATTCGAAACACAACTGGCCCATCCTGCCTGGCCCTGCCATGGATCCCCGGCGTTTCGGTTGATGCTCTGCAGGCCACCCTGCCACACCTTTCAGCAGAGAAACCGGGCGAAAGGAGAAACGCAGGACATGGTACCTGGACCCTCAAACGACCCAGAAGAAAAGGGGAAATTCGCCCACTATAGTTTTGGTTCAACCAACTCTATTGCCTGCGCTCCGATGTCCTTCTTTTATCTATGCTGCGCCAAGTGGACTCGAATTAACCGTCGAAAACCACTCAGTTTTTGACGCCAGGCAGTGAACTCGAACTAACCGCCGAAAACCACTGCCGGCGACTGGTGGCTTCAAAATCGCTGACCCCTTCGCAGGGCAGGGTGCCCAGCATGGCACGGCCAGCTTTGCGGCTGCTGCCACGGATGCGACAAACCTGCCCCTCAAAGGTGGCAGCTTAGTGACGTGTACGCCCGATAAGCGAGCTTGGCCAGCGAAGGATGTCTGGACACACGCCCAGCTTGCATCCTCCAGCCGAGACGACGACTGCCAAAAGGCATGTCATGGCATATCGCCACCAAAATCCATAGCACTTGCACAGGCACCAAGGGTTGGGAAAGAGGTTATTTTAAGTGGACGTCACGAATTCCCTAGCCGAACATGGTGCCTACACCACTCATCGAAGCACCGGCTGATGGGAGCCATAAAAGAGAAGCCTTCATGTCAGCCTTAACATTCATCCAGCCCTAACCTGACTCACATCGCTCAACATTGCGGCTCACAGGGCGTCTCATGAACTCGTTGCCGCACTTTGGTATTAAATGCGATGGATGGCGATGGATGTCTTTTGATTGGTCACTTGAGGGTATTCAAGTCAAAGGTCAATCAGGGCAACCAACCCCAAAGAGGCAGTGCTTTTGGCTTTCCTGTACAACCCGGATGGCAAACATGTGCAGTGTCCGCATTCGATGAAACAACTTGGCTCACACGGCTCAGTGAAAGAAGGCCAAAGCTACCAGCACAGGCCAGCACAGGCTCATGGCGATGGAGTTTGACATGGCGATGGTCGGCATGGCATCTCCCCAGTCACTGGAGACTTTGCATTCGCCTCGGAAAAGGATATCATCACACAACGCTACAGGCGCAATGAAAGGACAAACGGGTGTTTGGTTTTTTGCGGGCTTCCTGTTGATGTGCTTTGAGCAACAATAAACATCTATGTAATACATCATATACTATATGTTTCCTCGAATTGGACAGTTCCCCACACGCCTGATTCACCGTGATTTACCTTTCAGCAACCCTCCCCAGAGCCAATTCCGGGAAACACTCACAATGACAGCACGGTGTGCTGGGATATTGCGAGGCTCAACGCAACAACATGACACATGCGTGGTACAGTCCTGGCATGTCATGTACCACTTGTCTGGCTGCTCAAAAGGCGCAACGAACTCATTCATCCTTTGTGGACACGTGTTTAGCATCACAAGCACAAGCGTGACATTTGCGTGGCTCCAATAAGCAAGTCAGCAAGCAAGACTGGAAGTGGGATGTGCTTCTTGCGCGGGCAACCCTGTTGACGTTTGGACCGGTTTCATGGCATGGCAGTTCGGGATTCCGACAGCACCAGTTTGTGTTCCAAGGACTTGCTGGGATCCGCAGATAGCCAAACAAATCCAAACAACCCTCATTTGTACATATTTCTATGGGGGGGCGGGGGTCCACCGCCTTTCTCCGCGAAAAGGGCCCGACTGGGCCCCCCCGCCTTTCTGCGTGAGGCTGGCGGTGCAAACCACAGCCTGCGTCATGGAAGCCCCGTGGTAGCCCACGTTGATGGAGGTGCCAACCTCAAGGCAGCTCGAAACTGGAGATGGCCACAGTCCCCCAGTCTGACGCCCTTGAGTCCCCTTTTCAGGTTGGATGGTTGGTTTGAGGGGAAACCCAAAGCAGACCAGCGATTTTTGGGATCCCTCATTTTGAGGCAAGCGCAATCTTTCCGCAGAATATGGCCAACCACCCCGGGGTTTGTTGAGTTTCTCAACAGAACAACGAAGACAACGGGACCCAACACCTAAATCTGAAAAGCGACCACCAGCAGAACGTAGTAGGTCTTGTCCACGGTGAGCGCGAGGTCTGTGGCGTCCCCCGTGTTCAAGGGCCGCTGGGCCCACACCTTCATGCGCCCATTCTCAGAGAGCAAGCTGTAACTCTGCAGGTCCTGGGGATCTTGAGGCCTCAAAAACGAAGGCGTTTTGCCTGTTTAAAGCGTTGCGCTTCTGGAGGGATACACCTTGTGGACCCATCCACTTGTTTCCTTCGGAAAGGAGACAAAACCGAGTCGTCTGCGATCCTAAGAAACAAACCCTGCAAGCAAACGGGAACTCAAGCAGAACGTCCCCATCCTGAACCGCGTCGATGGTAATCGTGTGGCCCACCAAGTTGCATTGCGACATGCTAACTGCCGTGCCAGCACTGGTCTTCTTTGTCAGGCCCATGGCGCAAAACATTTGACCTGACGTCCGGGCCACGTGAGCTGTTTGACCCGAGCTGACTTTTCGCACCATCGCGTGGCAAAATTAAGGGAGGGCCAATCAAACACCTGTTTTTGTTACACATGTTTTGTTGTGGTGCGTTGTAAACCACCTGCGGAGGGTAGCATCAGCCTTGCCATAACCCGCTGAGGCATGGTGGGGCAACTGTAACTGTAGGCCAGGTTATACGCAACGGGCACGTGACTGCATAAAAACACCAACCCCAGCCTGGGCATGCATAGGCTCCACAGCCGCATCCGGCAGTGGTAGTTGCCCCACAGCCGCAGCCGCAGCCACAGCCAGCAGTGGTGGTTGCTCCACAGCCGCAGCCACAACCGCAGCCAGCAGTGGTGGTTGCCCCACAGCCGCAGCCACAGCCACAGCCAGCAGTGGTGGTTGCTCCACAGCCGCAGCCACAGCCAGCAGTGGTGGTTGCCCCACAGCCGCAGCCGCAGCCAGCAATGGTGGTTGCTCCACAGCCGCAGCCACAGCCGGCAGTGGTGGTTGCCCCACAGCCGCAGCCGCAGCCGGCAGTGGTGGTTGCCCCACAGCCGCAGCCGCAGCCACAGCCACAACCGCTGCCACTTGGGCAAGTGCCATAGAAAGCACCACACCCGCAACCACTAAGCCGTCGTGCCACCTGGACTTTGCTGCCAAAGGGATGTCCTGTTTGGACTTCCTTGAAGATGGCATGCTCCGGGCACCCTGTTCCGCTCAGCTCCTTCCCGCCGGCAATTGCCGCGGTCTGCATCTGGCTTGGCTTTGCCTCCACGCACGGCTGACCATCCTTCTTCGCGCGGTAGCCCGTGATGTTTCCCAGTGTGCCGCGCAGGCATGGCGGCATGTAGGGAGCCGTGGGCACCAAATAGTACCGGTACTCGCCGGTGATGAGGTCTGTGGCTCCGAAGCACTCGTCGAGGGACTCCTTGCTGGTTCCTGATGACTCAGCCAGGATCAACGACTCTGTACATGTGTATCTGTGCAGAAACACAATGTGCTTCTTTGTTCAACCTTAAACATCTTCCATGACTGATATGAAGTACAGGAAGACCTCGAACCATTGCGAGGCTCCTTTGCCCTGTATCGGAACCCTCCCCAAGAAAAGGAGAACTGGCACTGGAGGTCTGCAGAAGACCCCTTGACCAAGGCTGACACCAAAATCCTAGTTGTTCGATCTCGGATATTCTTCTCCCTGGAGCCTGGAGCCATTCTGACACAAATGTGTGTTGCGCAAAACAAAAAGAACAAGTACGAGCTGTGCTTTGCTGCTCGATGCTTCAAAAAAAGGTGTTCAAGCTCGGACCGATGTTCAAAGAACAGATGAACCGAAGGCTTCGGCCGAGGCTCGTTTGCCCGCGCGGAAGGGTCCCATGATGGGTGCGCCGTCCAGAGCCCAGCCCACCTGCACCTCAGGCCCCTGCGACGGCCAGGCATTGGCGCCGGCCGTCTTCCACCAGGAACCGTCTGCAGGAGTGGGCACCCCCAGGGCCGAAAGCCTGCGGAGGGTGAACGTCGGACAGGGCAGAAAAATACATACATCACACCTGCTAAACCGAAACCCCTGAAAATCAGCTCAAGGTACAATTGCGACGGGCCAAATGAAAATAACACTTTCTTGAAGGGACCCTGTCACAGCGGTGGCTGAACTGAAGAAACTTGTCAACGACAAACAGGTCATTTGCCAAGTCAACTGGCAGGTGGCAAGCACAGGGGCGGCGCGTGGTAGTGGTAGTGCCCGAAAGTGTCCCCGTGGCCGCCGCAGTTGTCAAAGAGCCAAGTCATGCCCTCATCCGGATGCTCATGCACAAAGAGCACCGAGTTCATTGCCATGCCCACCACACCCCCAACATGCTCAAGGCTTTGTGCGGAGCCCGGAGTGGTAAAAGACGGAAGGCTGACCTTCACGCGACGCACTCGTGGGACGTAGGGGTTAACCTCCTTCTTCGGCTGCTCACTCAGACGTCGAGCCCCGCAGCCACAGCCGCAGCCGGCAGTGGTGCTTGCCCCACAGCCGCAGCCGCACCCGCAGCCGCAGCCGGCAGTGGTGGTTGCCCCGCAGCCGCAGCCGCAGCCGCCACCGACAGTGGTGGTTGCCCCGCAACCGCAGCCGCAGCCGGCTGTGGTGGTTGCCCCGCAGCCGCAGCCGCATCCTTTTGTCGCACCACACCCACACATTGGGCAGTCTGCAAGATCCACTGCACCGTGGTGCCCGAACGTGAACACGTCCTGCAGCAGGCCAAGTGCAGCTTTAACACTTTAAAAAGTACGTGCAGATAGAGCGCAAGAACACCACTAAACAAGCGGGCCAAACAGCAAGGCTAATCAGATAATGTTATCGCATGTTCTAGAACACTTAGTCCCGACGTTGGTCTCAAGTCCCCGAACAGAAAGACGGCGCTTAGCAGAAGGGCCAAGTTTCGGCGCCATCCATCTTGGGACTGTTCTCATTGAATCCGAAGCCGCACCAAGACGTCTCTGGGCAGTCGGCCGTGACCATGAGCATGTCGTTCATGGCCTCTATGGTCCTGGGCCAGAACAAAACAGCAAGGGAAACAAACAAACAAAAA